GAGACCCAGGACAATCTGATGACTGCCCATTCCTGCTTTCCAGAAACTACACATAGTAGCAGGAAGATAGGGATGGGGTGAATTGCACTCTTTGTCCCCCCTAAGTCTAGCACAATACCGTGAATGTAGTCAGAGCTCATTAAAATTCAGTTAAACCAAAGGATAAGAAATAAATGAATTATGATTGAATGAGGTGATTGCCCATCTGCAATTCCTCTGCAAAGCCTGAGCTCACAGGTAGCCTGATGCTCTGCTGCCCCAATGCGGCCACTTTTAAGATAGCAGCCAGAGTAAGCATATACATACATATGCATATACATAAATACATATATACTTATATATGGGATAGAACCCATGACCTCATATATGCTAGGCAAGCACTCTGTTCCTGATCTAAACCCCCAGTCTCAATTTTTTTTCTTTTTCCTGGTTCAGAACATGAATCAGGCATAGGTACAAATCATAAATCAAACTGGGATAAATAAGGAGTTGTGCTGCTCTGGCTGGTATGTGATGAAGCAGCCTCTATTTTTTTTTTATGAAAAAAATCAAATTTATAGAGAAAGAGAATAGTATAATTAACCATTGTCTATCATCGAGATTTAATAATCAATTACATTTTTCCAAGTTTGCTTTGTCTTTTTTTTAATTTAAAATAAATCACCTGTAGGATGACATTTCATCCAGGAACACATCAGTTATGTCTCTGATAATGATATTTCTCTACATAATTACAACCTCATTATCACAATGACTAGAATAAATGTTAATGGACCTAATCCATATTCAAATTTCCTTGATGGTTGCAAAAATGTCTTTTAAAAGTCGGTTTGTTCAAATCAGGATCCAAAGGAGACCATAAGAGGTGTTACAGCTCTTGGGTCTCTTTCTAGAATAGTGCCCCCGGCTCTTGACTTGCTGCCCTCTGGCCTGTTTTCTGGGAGAATGTTTCCTCAGGTTGTTAATCCGCTGGTGCTGACCTCTCCTGGTGCCTTCTGAACCAGAAGCTGGATTGAAAACTATGATTAGATTTAGTTCCACCATTTTTGGTATGCTTCGCATTATATCATACCAGGGAGCACAGGCTGTTTGATGCCCACTTCTAGAAATGGTCAGCTTGATCAAGAGGTTCAGGTGAATTCATTCTCATTATTCCACTGAAAAGCTACTCTTCCCCCATTGAGCTGTGGCCTGATAAAGTGGAACTTGACAAAAAGCCAGTTCCCCAAGAACTACACACCTAACACCTTTGTCCACCCATTGGTGATCACTGCCTGGAACAATAATATTTCATTAGGAGTTACAAAAGGGATTTTGTAATTTTACCAGAGAGAAAGTCTCTTCAAAGAGGGCTAGGATTTCCCTGAAATACAGTTCATTTTCAGAGTGAGAAGCTGATACAATTACTTCCAGTGGTAGATGAGGGATTACTTTTCTTCTGCTGAGACTCATGATAAATTCTTGTATTTCAAAAGATTTAGCTGACACTGGGTATAACAGCACACATCTGTAATCTCAGGAGGCTGAGGCAGGAGAATTAAAAGTTTGAGGGCAGCCTTAGCAATTTAGTGAGGCCCTAAGCAACTTGAGACCCTATCTCAAAATATAAAATAAACAGGGCTGGGGGTGTAGCTCAATGGTACAGCATTTGCCTAGCATGCAAAAGGCTCTGGATTCAAAACCTAGTACTGAAAAAAAAAAATTCAGGATATTTAAATCAGATGCAATCAATGTTCTTTTCAATGTGAGAGCAACTTTAAGCTGGCTCTTGCATCTGCTAGTTTTGACAACTTCCTTATTTGGGGGCACAATTAGATGCTCCAGGCTCATCTTGCCCCTGCCCTTGCTCCATTTAAAAAGATCTAAAAGCAGTCATTTCTCCAATCATTCTTGATTCCTTTTATTGGAGACCATATTTAGAGACCATATTTGCACATGGCAAGTGGTAGAGCTGGGATTTAGACTCCTGGAGATTAAAGGTACTAGCTCTGAAGGGATAATCTCTTTGCCTTCTGGCTAATAACATTTATTAGGGAGAATAATTGCTAATAACGACAACTATGACTACTACTGCCATAGATGGCCACTTGCTTGATGTCAAGCACTCTGCTAGGCATCTTCCAGCATTTTAAAAAGATCATAATAGCCCTCCAAGGTAGGTATTATCATCACAATTTTACAAAAGAAGAAAATAAGGCTTAGAAACCCCAAATTGCATGGTGACAGATCATAGATTCAAATTTAGGTCTGTGTGGCTCCCAATTGTGGTTCCTGTTATGGACCAAGCTATAGGGTAATGACCAAACAGACTCCATGTTGCCCTGAGATTCTACATCCTGTAAGAAATGCTTCTCCCATGGGAAAGCCCTGCCTCTGTACCCATCAATAGTTGCTTAGCATAGCATGTTTGACAACACAAAATGGCAATTCTTATACAATGTAAAATTGTTCTCTCTTTGGTTCCCATTTTTCTTGGACTATGTACCCTGTCAGAGATTGATTGTCTAGATGTTAGTAACCATTCTTTAACTTGTACTCAACTAGGGACGTTTTGGCCCACTCCCTTTTGTTATGATTTTAGATCTCATGACACTTGTTTATGGTTTTAAATCATAGCAACAGCCACTTATGATTAGTATGATTTTGGACTATAAAAGTTGTATTCAAACCCTGGGAGGGGGTTGAAGGGAGTAGACTTGCAGCTTACCCCTTGGCCCGCCAGCTGGTGAATCTGGACTGGTGGATCTGGACTGGTGGCTGGTAAATAAAGTTTCCGTTTCCTGCTCTAAGATGGATTTATTGCAGTCTTGCTATGACATTCCCATAGCCACTTTAGACCAGATGGTGGGTGAGAATTCTGTGTCTATAATGGTTCTTGCTCTGATCTTTGAGACTCTCCCTGTGTCCTAGGGATCTGGGTTCAAACACCCATTTAGGTGCATTCATTATGCAATCTATATGTACAAACATGGGGAGGTATCAAAAATGTTGAAGGAAGTAGGTAAATAAACAAATCCCTAGAGTTATTTTGGTACTGGGGGTTTAATTCAGGTTCTATTGCACACTAGGCAAGCACTTTGTCACTAAGCTACATCCCCACCTCCTTTTTATTTTATTTTTAAAAATTTTATTTATTTACTCCCCCCCCCCAAGATGGTGTCTTTCTAAATTGCTCAGGTTGGGCTGGAGCTTGCCATCCTCCTGGTTCAGTCTCCCAAGTCTCTGATATTACAGATGTGTCCAGCCAGTATGCATTTAATATAACATTTGTGGGCAAAAAAGTATCTATGTTTGTGTCTTATTAAAGAAAAAAATATTCAGGACTATCCTGATAGGTATAGGAATCACCGCAACAGAGGGGAGAGATTTGGCTCAACTCTGAATGTGGCCTGGGGAAACAGGAATTTATAGCTAGGGAGCAGAGAGGGGAGTAGTGCAAAGAAACATCAGGGGTAAGACAGGATTCTGGTTAAAACAACCTAATAAGATTCTTGTTAAAGACAGACCAGAGCAATTAGGCATCACCTAGGGGATGGTGGAGGGTAAGGAACCCATTCAGACAGGATGAAAAGATGTCAACAATGGGGGTTCTGTAAACCGATTTAACAGGGTTTTTTTGCTAAAAGTGGATTTTATCAAAGTACATGGATTGGCCTGCGAGATGGTTCTGAAGCCAGAATTAGACAGGCAGTTAGTGTAGATAGGTAAATCGAGTCAGGTAGGGTCAAGGAGGCCGATTTTGAGTGAGTCTGGGAAGTTGAAGACTGCCCCCTGAGGGATCTTATCAAGAACCAGCTCCTGCTCCCACCAGTTGCCAAGGTGACTAGTCCCAGGAATTTCCCCTCCTTACAGGGAGCTATAAGGTTGTTAATGTGTCCTGTCTACTCCACCAGGCCCTTCCCCCTTCAGCCCATCTACTTCCCCCCCGTTTGGCCATCCCACCAAGCATTTCCTGGGCCTAGTCAAGTACGCAGGAAGGAGAAAGATACGGGGGGAAAGAACAAAGGAAGCCTAGGACATTTAAAAAGGGCAGAACACCTCACCTCTTGGGATACCATGGTACCAGCTATGGCCCCCTTCTTCCTTGCGGGAGAAATTTGTTACCCCCTTTTAAATAAACCCTGCTTCATATGCTTGCCTCTGCACGCTTCTCTAATGTTCAAACTTCAACATGTGGGGAAGCAGGACTTGTCACCAATAACCAGAGGTATCAGTTCAAGAGTATGAATAAAGTTTGTTCAGGCAAAGAATCTTTGTTAGTCTACATAGGAAATATTTGGTAGCTATGTACAATACTAACAGTGGTTTTCTCTGAAGAAAAGATTCAATTTTAAATTAAGATTCTAATTTGAGGGCTCAGGGATGTAGCCAGGGGTAGAGTGTGTGTATACATGGGGCCGTCAGTTCCACTCAATAGCACCACCATGACTACCAAATAAATAAATAAATAAAATTAAAGCAAGAGCTCCCATTTAAAGCCTATATAGCCCACAGGCCTATTTGGAGGCTCCTCAACGCCACTGTGTGACTTGAGACAGATCCATTCACTGTTTTAGTCAGGGGCTTCCTCTTGTGCAAACTGACAAATGTACCTTCCTCCCAGAGTTGTGACATGGGTGAAATGAAATAATAGATCTAAAAACTGTCTTGCTCAGAGTAGGACAGATTATTACAGCCATCAAGGAAGGCGACGCGAAGGAGGAAGCATCGGCTTACATTTTTAACTATCTGACAGGGCCTGGCCTTGGTCTGTTTCCTGGCTGTCTTTTCCTGATACTCAACAGGCGCTGAGATTTTTAACCACGCAACTGCGCGGGAAGACGAGGACCAGAAGTCAGGCGCATGCGCCATTTCGGAACCTTCGGCGGCGCTCCACCTATTACTACAACTCCCGGCAGGTTCCGCGTTCGCCTCAGGCGCGTCGCGAATTGCTGACGTAGCTCAGTAGCGCGGGGAATTTCGAGTAGTAATCTAGCGCGGGAGGCCAGTGGGAGGCGGGCCCCGGCATCCTGAGGAGAGATCATGGAAACCTTGGCCGAGCCTCGGTGGCCTCCAGGCCTGGCAGTGATGAAGGTGAGTTCTTTGGGGACGTGGGGGGCCCCGTTTGTCGGTGGGAGGACAGCCCCGCCTTGTGGGAGAAAAGACTCCGCGCGAACTGCCGGCTGGGCCAGGGTACCCGGCGCTCCTCCGCTTGTAGCCTGACGCTGGGCTTTCGGCCTGTTTTCTCCGCTGAGCGGTGACTAGGGCAAGCTTCGGCCGCTGAGGTGAACCGAGGCTGGCCGTTTTAAGGAACCGGGCACACTGCGTTTCTGTCACCACATTCAGTGTCATGGAGAAAAACAGTCACTAAGTGGTGACACCGACAGTGACAGCTACTTCTTTCAGGGAATTGCCCGTATGCCAAGCACTATATTATAAACAGCGACCCCGGGCATGATTTGGGGTGGACAGTACGTCAAATAATATTTATTTTTTTAAATTTTTGCGGCGCTGGGGGCTGAACCCAGGGGCGCTCTACCACCGAGCCCCATCCTTTCTGGTCCTTTTTTATATTTTTATATTTTATTTTGAGGCCGAGTCGCACTAAGTTTCTCTCGGACTGGCCTCAAACGTCGTGTGTTCCTGCCTCAGCCTCCGGAGTTGCTAGGATTAGAGGCTTGCGCCGCCACATCCGGCTTCTAATTACGTGGTAACCATCGCGTAGCAAGGCGGGTGCTCAGCTGTACAGAATCTTTCACTTTTATTCTGATTAGGGGCAAGCCCAGTCTAGTTAGTCCAGTCACACTGTGGCCTAACTCCTCCCTAACAGTTTCTCTTATCCACCCCGCCCTTTTTATTTATTTATTTATTTTAGTTGTAGATGGACACAAAATGCCTTTATTTTATTTATTTGTTTTTTATGTGGTCCTGAGAATCGAACCCAGTGCCTGTCGCTCGTGCTAGGTGAGCGCTCCACCACTAAGCCACCACCCCAGCGTCCCCGCCTCCTTTTAAATAGTACTGGAGATTGAACCCCGAGGGGGTTTACCACTGGCTCACATCCCACAGCCCTTTTTAATTTTTATTTTAAGACAGGGTCTCACTAAGTTGCTTAGGGCCTTGCTTAGTTGCTGAGGCTGGCCTCCAACCTGCCATCCTCCTGCCTCAGCTTCCCAAGTCATAGGGATTACAGGTGTACCTCACTGTGTCTGGCGGGCTTTGTTTTTAAAACTGAGATACTTGTGCTATGTTACTGTTGTTAACAGGGTTAAACTCTAGAGTTGCTCTTATTTTGTGTTATTTTTGTCGATTTCGTTTTCTGACTTAAAAAAAAAAAAGATGTCCATTAAAATGGGGAAATTTTCTTGTGGCATTAACTATTCTTTGAAATCATTTTTTTTTTTTGAGAGAGAGAGAGAATTTTTTTAATATTTTATTTTTTAGTTTTTGGTGGACACAACATCTTTATTTTATTTTTATGTGGTGCTGAGGATCGAACCCAGTGCCCAGCGCATGCCAGGCCAGCGCACTACCGCTTGAGCCACATCCCCAGCCCCTGAAATAATGTTTTTAATGGCTACATAATATTTTATATGGACTAGTAATGACATTAGTCTTTTTTATTTGTTCTTAAGTTACATGATAGATTCATATGGTTCAAAAAATACATAAGAAAATGAAAAGTGTCCCTCCCACCATGCCCCTCATTTGTTCAGTTTCTTGATCCCTGATTCCTACAAAACATTTATTGCTTTCTTGTGTATCTTTTCAGAAGTTTTAAAATATATATGATAAAATAGAAGACATTCTTAATACCTTCCCCCCATTTTTTTGGTGCTGAAGATCAAACCTGGGTCCTTGCCCATACTAGACAAGTGTTCTGCCAATGAGCTGCATCCCAAGCTCCTCACCCTTCTCTTTTTAAGAAGGTGGCAACTATGTATACTCTCTGTACCTTACTTAAATGACTTAAACAATTTTAGTTTTCAAGAGTAGATCCTTTTCTGTTTAGATTGCATTCCAAGTTGACACCCTTGTGTCTAACATTCCAAATTGTCTGCTTCTTCATCTCCTTCTGCTATCACTGATCCTATCTATTTCCAGGGCTTCTTCATTTGTCTCTACTGTGTTGTACCATGCATAAAGCACTAAACTACTAGTAGGAAGACAGGAATTTTAATCCTATCTTGATTCATATCCAGCATTGTGAGCCAGCTTTGGTACAGTTTTCTCATTTGCAAAGTAAGGGTTTTAACTAGATATTTTCTAATGTTTGCCTTTAAAAGCCTCTGATTTGGCTCTTAACCTGTATGATGACTGTGGCTCATGGAACCTTTTGCCCAACAGTCACATAGGCCAGGGGATGGGGTCTAAAGAGGTGGAGGCTTGGAGTAAGAACTGGAAACACAGGAAGTAGAGCAGGAACGCAGTAGCCCTTTTGTAAAGGGATGAGCATGACACAGGAATCTGTGCAGTGTCACTAGTGTCTGTCCAAAGCAATTTGGATAACCTGAGATTTGAATGTGTAACAATAATGGTGGGGGTAGGGTTCTCTATTTGTCAAGATCCCTTGCAGTTTATCTGGAGTTAGCTTCTGAATATGTATATTTGAAAAAGAAGTATTATTGAATTGTTTTTGTGGGGGGGCAGAGAAAAAGTTCTGTGATGATCAATTTCTATGTCTTTCTGATGTGAATATATGTGTTTTTGTCTTTCAGAGAATAGATGATTTACTTCGATGTGGAATTTGCTTTGAATATTTTAACATTGCAATGATTATTCCTCAGTGTTCACATAACTGTAAGTATGTTTTGATTTTGTGAGTTATTAAAAGTAGTGTTAGTTTAGTGCTGATGATATGCACATACACTTATTTCTCACTTTTAACTCTGGTGTCCTGAGATTTTAAGAAAGTCTTTTCCACTACTTTCCTCTTGAATATGAAAGTTTTTACAATGTTCCTGAATTTTCTACCACTTTCCTCTTGGATATTTTTGTGTTTTATAGTATTTATGCCAATAAAGATTTTGGTTACAATATGTGGTTCTTTTATTTGTCAAGCATTTTTAGATGTTAGACTTAAGAATTTTTATTTTTAAAATTTTATTTATTGAGTCGGAATCTCGTTATGTTGCCCAGGCTGATCTCAGACTCAGGGACCCAAGTGATTCCCCTACCTCACCCTTCTGAGTAGCTGGGACCACAGGCATGCATTACCATGCCTATCTCAGAACTTTTGTTTTTAACAGAATAATGTTTCATCCAAGTAGTACTTGAGATAGAATATTTTTGTTATAGAATATTTTGGTACCAGGGATTAAGCTCAGGGGCACTTGGCCGCTGAGTTTCATCCTAGCCCTATTTTTTTTTTTTTTTGTATTTTATGTAGAAATAGGGTCTCATAAGCTGCTTAGCACCTCACTTTTGCTGAGGATGGCTTTGAACTTGCAATCCTTCTGCCTCAGCCTCCCCAGCCACTGGGATTACAGGCTTGAGATAGAATTTTAACATTTTAAAATCTATAACAATAAGAATACAGATGCTTCTTAACTTATGATGGCATTAATCCTAGTAAAACCATCATGAATTGAAAAGTTTATAAGTTGAAGATGGTTGAACACATCTAATCTACTAACATCATAGCAATGCTGCACACAGGAGAGTTTTGCCTTACCCTTGTGATTTATGGCTGTCTGGTAGCAGTGGCTCTCTCCTGCCACCCAGTATTGTGAGAAAGTATTATACTGCATATTGGTAGCCTGGGGAAAAAACTAGAATTCAAAGTATGTCTTTTAGTTAGTGCATACCAATTTTGCATTATGGTAAAGTAAAAATATTGTGATTTAAACCATCATAAGTTGGAGGACTGTCTGAATTTGCCCACTAAGAGAGAATTATACCACTGAAAAGTATTACAGACTTATCACTTATCTGCTCTGCAATGCTGGAAAGATTGTTATTTATAAATGTTGGCAAGAGAAAAAGAAACATTCATACATTGCTGGTGGGACTGCAAATTAGTGCAATCATTCTGGAAAGCAGTATGAAGAATCTTCAGAAAACTTGGAATCAAACCACCATTTGTCCCAGTTATCCCACTCCTTGGTATATAGTCAAGAGGACTTAAAATCAACATACTACAGTGATGCAGCCATATCAATTGTTTATAGCAGCTCAATTCACAATAGCTAAGCTATAGAACCAACCTAGGTGCCCTTCAATAGATGAATAGATAGAATGTGGTACGTATACACAATGGAATATTACTTAGCCATAAAAATGGAATGGAATTATGGCAGTTGCTGGTAAATAAACGAATGTGGAGACTATTCTAAGTGAAAAAAGCCAATTCCAAAAAACCAAAAGCTGAATGTTCTCTCTGATATACGGATGCTGACACACAATAAGGGGATATGGAGGGAAGAATAGAAATTCAGTGGCTTAGACAAAGGGGGATAAAGGGAAGGAAGGGAGGTTGGGAACAGGAAAGCTAGTAGAATGAGTTAGACCTAACTTTCCTATGTTCATATATGAAAACACCACCAGTGAAACTCTACATTGTGTACAACCACAAGATTGGGATTCTAATTAGAATAAGTTATACTCCAACAGTAATTGTGGATTCATTGATATTTTTTTTCCCTTTTACTTCTCTCATGTTTTGCTTTATGTATTTTGAAGTGCATTTATTAGGTACATACACATTTAGGATTGTTTTATCTTCTTGAAGAGTTGACTACATGTTATTAAATATTCATCTTTATTTCTCGTAGCATTCTTTATTCTGAAGTATACTTTTAAAATACTAACATAGATACTTCAGCTTCTTTAAGATGAGTGTTTCTTTGGTTTATCTTTTCTGTCCTTTAAACTACTGTTTTTATATTTAATTTGTATATTTTGTAGATAGTGTATGTTTGTGTTTTGCCCTTTAATCCAGTCTGATGATACCTATTTTTACTTGGAATATTTATACCTGCATTGTTTAATGTGGTAATTGCTGGCTCGATACAGGGAGCTATTTACATGTTAATGAAAATTTATTGAATAAAATTATTACCTTAGTCGCACTAGCCACATTTCCAGTATCCAATAGCTACATGTGGGTAGTAGTAACTGTAGTGGCCAGTGTAGACATAGAATATTTCTACCATTGCAGAAAGTTAATGTAATTATTAATGAGCCTGGGTTTAAATGTACTACTTTTCCTTTTTGTTTTCAATTTGTCCATCTAGTCTTTCCTCTCTTCCTGCCTTTAAAAAAAAATTGTTTTATTTTAGTATTAACATTTTCCCACAATTATTAATTCTACTTATTTGTTTTTAGTGGTTGTTTAAAGTATGCATCTTTAATTTACTACAGTCACTCTTTAAACAATACTATGCTACCTGAATAGTGGAAGACTGAAGAGCGTAAGATGGTTACAAACATGTACTTCCATTTATCCCCCACGTTAGTCAATTTCTACATATTTATAATTTTCTAGTTTTCCTTCCACAGTTGATTTTTATTTTCATTCCAGTATAGTTGGAAAAGATACTTGGTATGATTTCAGTCTTTTAAAATTTGTTAAGACTTGTTTTTTTTTTTAAGGTTTTATTCTTTATTTTTTTTATTATTTTATTTATTTATTTTTATGTGGTGCTGAGAATCGAACGTGCTAGGTGAGCCCTCTACTGCTAAGCCAGAAGCCCAGCCCAAGACTTGGTTTTTGACCTAATACATGATCTATCCTAGAGAATGTTCCAAGTGTGCTTGAGAAGATTCTATGTTCTGCAATTGTTGGATGGAATGTTCTGTACCTGTCTGTTAGATGCACTTAGTATATCATGCTGTTCAAAATATTACTATTATTATGCTGCTGTCCAGTTCTCCCTTTAGTTCTGTCATTGTTTGCTTCATATATTTGGTTGTCTTTTTTTTTTTTTGGTACTGTTGATTGATCCCAGGAGCACTTAACCACTGAGCCACATCCTCAGCCATTTAAATTTTTTTAAATTTTAAATTTAAATGGAAGGGGATGTGGCTCAGTGGTTAAGTGAGTCACATTCACAAATTAGTGAATAATTTTTTATTCGCTAATTTGATTAGGGCCTTGTCAAGTTGCTGAAGCTGGCTTTGAGTTTAAGATCCTTCTGCCTCACGCTCCTGGGCCCTGGGATTATAGGCATATTCCACCAAGCCTCACATTGTTTGTTTTTTATAAGAGCCAGGTCTTTTGCTCTGTTTTCCAAGCTGTCTGTCTGAATTAATGGGTTCAAGCAATCCTTCTGCCTCAGTTTTTGAGACTGTACACACTGTACCTGGCTTTATGTGGCTGCTTTCATGTTGAGTGCATGTATGTTTATAATGGTCATATTTTCATGGTGAATTTGACTCTTAAATCTTTAAATTCTGATAGTTTTTGACTTATAGTCTGGCTATCCTTCTTCTCTTTTGGTTCCTATATGCATAAAATGTCTTTGCCTATCCTTTCACTTTCAGTCTGTGTGTGTCTTTAAAGCATGTCTCTTGCAGATAGCATACAGTTGGTTTTTTTTTTTTTGTAATACATTTAATCGTTCTCTGTCTTTTATTGGAGAGTTTAGTCCATAAATATATAATTACTGCTAGTAATGGACTTATTGCTGTTTTGCTCTTTGTTTCTGTCTTGTAATTTTTTTATCTCTCTTTTCCTCTCTTGCTATCTTTATATTTCATCATTTTTTTCTTTAAATAGTGATGTGGTTTGATTCCTTTCTTATTTTCTTTTGTGAATCTGTGGGTATTTTCTTTGTAAAATATCTGATTTACATTTTAAACAGTCTTTTTAAAGCTGTTAACAAGTTAACATATCTCAAACAAAATCTATATTCTGTTTTCTTCTATATTTTTATTTTTTAAAACCTCTACTCTTGGCCAGGTATGGTAGGGTACACCCATAATCTCAGCAACTCAGGATACTGAGGCAAGCTTGAGTCCAGCCTAGGCAATTAGTGAGACACCGTTTCAAAATGAAAAGTAAAAAGGGTTGGGGATGTGACTCAGTGGTAAAGTGCTCCTGGATTTAATCCCCAGTACCACAAAAACAAAACAAAAGAAACCTCTATTCTTTTACTTCTTCCTCTCATACTTTGTTAATGATGTTACAAATTATGTATTTCTTCTTGTGTATCCATTATTATATTTTTATAGCTTTTAAAAATGCTTTTGTCATTTAAATTCCATACCAGAATTAAAAACAATATATACATATACAATATATTCCTGCGAATGTATAATTTTTTGGGGGTGCTGGGGATAGAAACTAGGGGCATGTACATCCAAGGCAAGTGTCTTACCACAGAGACATCCTCCCTCCTTTAGTTTTTTTTTTTAATGATACAAAAGTCCTCAAAGTTTTGGTAGTTGGAGCCAGATCTGTTGATTTGGTATTATCCTGGATTGACTATAATTAGTGATCCTAACTACTAGTCATTTATTGCTACTCCTTAAACATTTCAGTATTTATTATTTATTTATTTTTGCAGTACCTGGGATTGAACCCAGGGGCAGTCTGGCTGGGCACAATCAGGAGCCACTTGTCAAAAGAAACTAACTTTATTTTTAGAACCACACACACCAAACAAAACAGCTCCTCAGGAAAAACCCTCAGAGCCCCAACTGCCACCACCGGCTTCCCACAAGCCTCTCCCTCAACCACAAGCCTCACCACCTCCCACAATCCTCCTGCTCTTGAGGCCAATCGGCTGGGTCACATAGGTGGAGCCAAAAAAGTCCCCCAATGAGCAGCTCCGTGGTCTGAAAGGGCAGGGAAACAGCCCAATGAGCATCACCGCAGAGGAGCCAATCAGCTAGATGTTGCTGGGGCTGCTGTGAGCCAATCATCAGCTGGCAGTCTGAAAGGGCGGGGAAACAGCCCAATGAGCATCACTGCAGAGGAGCCAATCAGCTAGATGTTGCTGGGGCCCTTGTGAGCCAATCATCAACTGGCAGTCTGAAAGTTTGCTGGGGCCCCTTTGGCTGTGGCTCTCAACAGTGCGCTATTGCTGAGTTACACCCCCAGCCTTTCTTTCCTTTTCTTCCCTCCCTCCTTCCCTGTGTCTCTCTCCTTCCTTCCTTCCTTCCTTCCTTCCTTTCTTCTTATTTATTTTTATATTTTGAAACAGGGTCTTGCTAAGTTGCCCAAGTTGGCCTCAAACTTGATGATCCTCTTGTCTCAGCCCCCTTGAGTTTCTAGGATTGCAGGCATATTCCCAGCTAGATTTATTACTGACCCAAATCTACTGAATCAATATGATTGGGTATGGAGTCGGGAAACTACATTAAAACCAACAACAGTATCCATAGGTGACTAAACTGAGCAGGTGGTTTAGGAATTCTTTTTTTCCCTTTCTTTCTTTTTCATAGTACTGGGGGTGGAACTCCTGGCCTTGAGCATGTCTGGCAAATGCTTTACCACTGAGCTGCACCCCTAGCTCTTTTTATTTTATGATAGGATCTCACTAAGCAACTTATAATCCTCCTGCTTCTACCTCCTGAGTAGCTGTGATTACAGATATGTGCTATTGCACTTGGCAGGATATTTTCCCCCCAGTACTGGGGATTGAACCTAGGCTCTACCAGTGAGATACATCACCAGTTCTTATTATTTTATTTTTTTGAGATAGGGTGTTGCTAAGTTGCCCAGACTGGTCTTGAACATGTGATCCTTCTGCCTTAGCCTTTTTGACTTGCAGTATTGCTCAGGTGACTTCTTGTAATGCAGAGAGTGACATTGTTAATTAAGATAATGAGTCCGGAAAGGAATCTTCCCTCAGAATTGAAAAGGTCAGGCGAACGTCGGAGGAAAATACCACCAAGAGACTGTCTCATGCAACAGCAAAGGGTTTATTGGGGGTCCAGCATGCTGGGGCTCAGAGCTCACTTCAGAAGAGCAGAGAACAAAGAGCCCCAAGAACAACTTAAGCAGAGTTTATATACATTCTTTGGAGAGGGCAGGGACTCTACATACATCATAGCCTCCCTTAGCAAATCACTGTACACCGCGGGAAAAATCAAATAACAACTCTTAAACATGATTAGTACATTCACTGGTGGGAACAGGTCGGGCGGGGGTGATAGGTCAGTCCTAAGGAGGGGTATACATTCAAACTGATCGGTTTAAGCCCTAAGGTGTATACATGCTGAACTGCATGGTCTCGGGGAGGGGGTGGTTAAGCAACTAGGTGGTCAGGGGAGATTTCGACACACATCTAATGGGCAGTTCCGGGAATTGTTTTAACTGCCACAGGAATTTCAGGTTCTGAGTGCAGCTTAGAAACTTTACAAAACCTGGTCCTTTACATTTTAATTTCAATTTCTTTTATCCTTTCAGAATGATAGTCCCATTCATAATCTGATTTGGGTGGTGGTTAGGTAAAATTTTGGAATTCAGACTTGGGGCTGCAGTGAGTTAAGACTTTTGGGATTGTTGGGAATGTATTCTGCATGTGAGAGGACATGAATTTTGGGGGCCAGGCAATGCTATGGACAGAATTATGCCCTCTCCCTATTCATGTGTTGAAGCTCTAACCCTCACTGAGTTGGTATTGGAACATAAGATCTTTAGGAGATCACTTGGTTTAGATGAGGTTATGAGGGTGGGACCCTCATGATCGGGATTAGTGCCCTTGTAAGAAGAGATACTAGAGAGCTTGTGTTCTTGCCCTGCCTTGCCCTCTGAGGACAGAGTGAGATGGTGGCCGTTTATAAGCCAAAAAGAGAGCACTTAACAGATACTGGCACCTTGATCTTGGACTTCTAGCTTCCACAACTGGGAGAAAATAAATTTCTGTTGTTTAAGCTATCAGGCAGTAGTATTTTGTTATCACAGCCCAATCTGACTAATATATCTGATTTCTTCCTCTTGTCCTTTATGTTATTGCTGTCGTTCATTTTATTTATTCATAAGCTTACATAAGCATGCATATATATACAGACCACCCCATACACACAAAAAACCATATGTAATTCAATATTCTGTTGCTATTATTTTATACAAACTGTTCTCTTTTAGAATAATAAGAAAAATCAAAGTGTTTATTTTAATTTTACTTATTCTGTCTACACTGTTCTTCCTTTATTTATGTAAGTCTGAGTTTCTGGCCTAAATCATTTTTCTTCTCTCTGAAGAACTTCGAGCAGATTTTAGAGACAGATCTACTGGTAAAAGACTCCCTCAATTTTTATTTGATGAGAAGATATTTATTTTGCTTTCACTTTTAAAGAATAATTCCATAGGATATGGAGTTCTAGGTTGGCCCTCCCTCCTTGTTTGTATGTTATGAGGAGAAGTCATATGTAGTTCATCACTTCTTTGTAGGTAAGTTTTTTTTTTTTCCTCCCTTCTGGCTTCTTTTAAGAAATTTTCTTTATCTTTGATTTTCTGAAGTTTGAATGTGATCTGCTGAGGTATAGTTGTATTTTTCTTTTCTTTTTTTTTTTTTCTTTTGGCATCTATCCTTCTTGGTGTTCTTTGGTTCTTGTGGATAGGTGGTTCAGTGTTTAATATTAATTTGGGAAAGTTCTCAGTCATTGCAGTAAACATTTTTTGTGTTCCTTTCACTCTTCTGCTGGCATTTCCATTATGGATATGTTAAATTTTGTAGCTGTCCCACAGTTCTTGAAGATTCTGTTCCATTTTTTTTCTAGTCTTTTTTCTCTTTACTTTTCAATTTTTAAGGTTTCTATTGACAAATTCAAGCTCAGAGATTCTCTTCTCATTTGTGTCCAGTATATTTATTATCTTCTCAAAGTATTCATTTGTTACAGTGGTTTTTATCTCTAACATTTCTTTTTGCTTCTTTTTTAGCATCCCACCTCTCTGTTTACATTACTCATCAGTTCTTACATGTTGTCTGTTTCCATTAAAATTCTTAGCATATCATAGTTTAAAAAGTTCCTCATTTGATATATTGAACATTCCTTTTCTATTTGACCCTGTTTCTGATGCTTGCTCAGTTTCTTCAAACTGTGTGTGTGTGTGTGTGTGTGTTTGTGTTTGTTTTCTTTTTTTTTGGTGCTGGTGATTGGATCTTTTATTTTTTATCTTTTAGTATGCCTTGTAAGTTTTTCTTAATAGCCAGGAATGATGTACTGGGTAAAAGGAACTGCAGTAAATAGGCCTTGAGTGCTATGGTAAATGTGGAAGGAGGAGAAGCATTTTCTAGTTTTGTGAGCAGGTCTCAGTCTATTAGGGAGCCTTGTCCCTGGAGCTTGAGATTCACAAATGCTTTGCTTACTTGCTCGTGAACTGGAAGAGGATGGCTAGAGAGTGTTGTAGTTGTATATTTCTCTCCTCCCAGGTCAGTTGGGCTCTGATAAAAACCCAATAGGTTATTCTGGTAAAATGGTTTTTCCTGAGGGCAGGCCTTGTGAACTTAGTGCTGGGGCTTGTCTCAGAGTGATTACTTTTCCCTTCTCCCTGCATGACTAGGGATTTTATTTTTGGATAGTCACTGTGAGAACTTGGTAGAACTCCTGGAGCAACAACTCACAAAAGCATGAGGACCTCTAAGGACAGGGTCCTCTAAAGCTTTTAACTCTCAGATTTGTCCTTCCTAATCTACTGCAGTTCATCAATGACCACTGAGGTTTTTCTTCCTCCGCCCTGGTTTCCAGCACAGTATTCTTCTCTGGTTCTTGTGGATGTTTCTCTTGTGGGTTTCTCCGCCAGTAGGTGGTGAGTCTCTGTATCTGCTTCTCCATTTTTAGAGGAAGCAGTTTGCCCTGTGACTTTGCTTTTCTGGATGGATCTCAGAATTGTTAGTTTTTCAGTTTAGCTTTTTGCTTGTCGTTAGCATGGAACGGCAGTGTCTGAGTTGGTCCCTTCTGTTCATCTTTGTTTCCCAAACCCTTTGGTGGTTTTAGCCTTTTTATAATGTGTCCCTTTATTTTTCTTCCTGGGGTACTCCTACTGAGGATGGCAAGACTTCCTTATTTCTGAACACCTGTACTGTAATCATACCGTCTCCTCCTTCTTGGCTAAACTCAACTCTTTTTGAGGAGGCTCCTTAACTCAACTGAATGATTGCCTCACTACTTTCTTATCTCCTTGAGGTAAAGAACGTTCCCCTCTACACTGCTCTTTTCTTAGTGCCTGCCACAGAAGTGCTTGTTAAATGTGCAATGATGGACATCACCTGCAGATTTAATATATAGAAATTGCTAATTTGTTAACCTAGGTAACATTTATTTCTTAAAATATGTATATGTCCTGTTTCAAAATTTATTTTTCAAAAGATAGGCAATAAGAGATATCTGACATGTTTATGTAATACTCAGCCCAGGTCTTGCACGCATGTTCCCACAGTTTACAAATGGAGAAAACAGAGTGATGCATATTGCTTACAGAATTGTGGTATCCTAGGGAGTCATTATATTTGATATATTTCCCTTTACTAATAACACTGTTTAATTACATGTGAAAATGTGCATAGAACACAGGTACTAAAAATTTAAGATTATAATGATATGCCTTAGATGGTGGAAATATTCCAAGGCTTAAGTCAGATTTGTTAAAAGTTAGATTCCCTTATTATTAATAGAGATTAACTTATGTTCCATTTTGTGTTTTTACAGATTGTTCTCTCTGTATAAGAAAATTTCTATCTTATAAAACTCAGTGTCCAACTTGTTGTGTGGTGAGTTTTTATATCCTTTTTTAAAAACTTACTGATTGGTAAAAATATTTCATCTTTATGTATGTACAAAAACCCATGAGAAGATGTGTAATTATTGAATTAAAAAATATAAAAGCCCTTTTCAGAAAGAACCTCTAAAGTATATGTAAGGAGAACTGGATTTTGTTCAATTTCTCATTAGGATTTCTGATAATCTAAATGTATTTTCGGAAGTAAAAGCTAATTTTAAAATTGGGATATAGCACTCTTTAATTCTTATGATCTATGCTTTTATGGTTCCTATTTTTTTTTTTTTGAATAGTTTCTTAGTTTTGGTGGAGACTCTGATAGTGGGATTATGAATTTACAAAGGACTGGTGAAAGTAGTTGTGCAAAAGGCAAAGATTCATGGCCTGTGGGCTTAAGAAAATTGGATGTTAAAATTTGCAAAACCTTTCAAGTGGTAGGGACAGGTGGAAAGGTAGATTAAAAGGGAGAATGAAAATAAGTTAGGATAAAGAAAGAAGAGAGTGCGAAGTTTAACAGAAAGGAAACCTTATCTCAGGGATCAACTATGTAATGTTCATACTGAAGGAGGACAGGATTTTTCATTTTTCTCTTGTGTTCCTGAAAACCAATTTTATTTTTAAACTTTTCTTGGACACTTAATGGCTCTCCCAGTGTTTTACTTAGAAGTTTTCTGTTTATGAGGAGAAATTTTAGGGAAAGCTGAGTGCTGGCATTTTGAAGGATTCTTGCTCATATTAGGCTTTTTCTTAGGACAGAATAAATAATATATGATTTTAAATAGATGCTTTGAGAGCTTTTATCAGACTTCCAGTTAGTAGGTACTGATTCACTCTTGTAAAATTCCATGTAGTCTGAGATAAATGAACTTTATTTTGAGTCTTTCCTGGAAGACTTAGTGGGATGGCGAGCCTCAGGAGGATGGGTCAGACATTTTCAAAAACAAGATTACAACAAGTTAATTATTGTTTCTGACCTTTTTCCATCTGTTGTTTTTCTTTTCTAGACAGTCACAGAGCCAGACCTGAAAAATAATCGCATACTAGATGAACTGGTAAAAAGCTTGAATTTTGCACGGTATGAGTTAATTTTGTGACTAATCTCTAACCACTTTTGCTTTTAATGTGTTCCTTCTCTGGCACTCTTCAGTTAGGGAATGCAGGGTTGCATGTTTTGGAGTAGAAGAAGTAAAAGAAGGCACATCTAATATGTAGTAATAAGATGTTCTCCCTTAATAGCAGTATTTCCCTTATGAAGATCAATTAAGAGTTGAAATGAGGATTTGAGGACTTCCATACTTTTGGCACTAGAAAGATACTCCTGGTTCATCTTACAATTTACCTGTGCCAACCCTAGAATTAGCAGTTCATTTCTCCAAGGAGCCCTGGTTCCTCTTTATTGAAGAATGGTATTTAGAAAGTAGGATCAGGTACTGGGTGTGCTTGTTACTGCTTTTAGGCCCTTGATAGACCTAGATAATATATGTATACATGCATATGAGTGTACTAACCCATGTACATACACATGTCTGTAGTTGGTCCTGGCTGTTATGTATTAATCCATTAATTCTTAATCTGATTTACTCAGCATGTGTAACATGTTGTGCCATGTGAAGTACATAATTGCTTGTATTTTACAAAGCTCAGAAACATAGCTTAACTTCCAGTCAAATGCATGAATGTGTAAAAGCAGGTTTGGTCGCTCAAAGGGATATAAAAAGACATGTTTTACCAAATGATATTGTGAATTCAGTTTTAATCATGTAAGTCAAGCAGTAATTTTTATTAAGAGCATACTGTATTTAGATAGCAGTCAGGTGCCCATGTATTTAAGTATATGACTTCCTAGCTTGTTGGGGTATTCTTGGAGGTAACTTACATTGCTTGCAAAAACAAACATTTCTTCTAATGGAATTGCACATTTGTTAATAGGTTTGCACTCGCAAAATGATCAAGCTTAGTACTCTGACTCAACTAATATGACATTCTAGAAATTGAGAATGATGTATTTGCCTAGATTAAGAAGCTCTACAATTCTCTGATTCTCCTAATTGAAGTTATTGTTTTTCTTAATGTAAAGCTCTTCACGAGTTAGTTTTTAGATGAACTGAGATTCTCTGATTCTCATGATTGAAGTTATTGTTTTTCTAATTGCAAAGTCCTTTACCAGTTAGTTATAAGAGGATGGAGCCAGGTCTCTAAAAAGGAATCTGTGGGCTGTTTGAGTTTCTCCAAGGTGATAAAATTGTCAAAGCTGCTTCTCTTTTCTCAGCTGGTACTGAAAGCACAACAACCTGCCTGCTAGGAAAAGGGGAAGCCTTGCCAACAACAGCCTGTTTGTTGAGAAGTACTCAATACTTAGGCTCACAGACCTTTTGGTAACTTGAAGGAAAGTCTCAAATGGTTTTGCTTTACTCTTCCCCTCTTCCTTCCAAAGGAATAGGCTAATTATTCATTAAAGCAGATGTGATGGGGTGGGAGGACTCTTTCTTGATTTGGGATGTATTTTTATCATTTGTTTCTCTTTGTTTACCCTCATGGAATTGCCATTTTTTACTAGCATCACCCTCGCAGTGAGCGTTTTGGGACACTTGTCATGTGCAGAGTGCTGAGGGACTTCTGCAAAAATAGTTCAAGCTCACCAATATCATTATTTGTTTGAATTCTGGTTTAAGATTGATGAAGGAAGAAGTTTAATCTTAGACTAAAATGTAAGATATTTATATTGTTCGTTGATTTTATTTCTTGTCTTCTCCATCTGTCATTGCCATTTTATTTGCCATTCTGATTTTTTAAAATTTAATATTCTAAATTGAATAATAAGAAGATAAAGGAAATAATTCAGAGGTTTTCAGATACAAAGCTGACATTCAGCTCCTACATTTTCTTGTAACCTTGGCACTTTATTTTCAAAGAACATGTGTGTCACCCCTCCCCCACCTCGACTCACTTTTTTAAAAAATAAAGTTTTTAAGAGCTTACTGATTTTTGTGCAAGTGGAACTTCATTCTAGCCCTATGTAGGACAGTATTGTTTATTTGTTTTTGCATAGTAGACTATCATTCTATTATTATTTTTTATAAATTGCTTTGGTTTATCCACCAGTGAGTTTTTCCCAAGTATTCCATGTTTTAAGAATTTCAACATTTAAGATAACCATCATAGTGGATAATTTCCTTCACATCTACAAAGAGGATGTAGAATGTAATTTCATCTTTATATTTGGTTGTGGTGTAGTTTAAAGCATACTGGCTTTGGATTTAGGCAGAATTGGGCTCCAGTCTTGCCTTTATTCTTTTTTCTTTCTAATATGATGGTGATATTTAACCTTTTTAGCCCCTGTTTCCTCATGTGAAAAATGGGAATAACCCTATTGATGTTGCCCTTGTATATGTTGATGCCCTAAGGTGCTAATCAGAATTTGTGCTTCGGTGGATGACTGCCTGTTTAACCAAATGACTCCAAAGCATAGCAGGGACTTTAAAATAATTTTTGCTTAATAAACGTCTCAGGGATTCAGATAAAATTCAGGCAAAACAGCCGTGGAGGACAACCTCCCTGGCCAGCGGGAGGGTCACATTCATACTCCTTGTTGTCCTCCATGAGGCCTTCTAGACCCAACCATCAGCTGTCTTGCTCAGGACTGCATCCCTTCTCTGGGATGCAATGATTTGGGACATTGATTTAGCAATGTGAACAGACAGCCTTCTTGAAACATCAGGATTATCTGGAAAAATAGTTCCTTATACCACATCCCAGTTGTCATTCCAGGCAGGAAGTTCTCAGGGTCATCTCCAGATTAATGCCAGCTTGAAAGTCCAAAATTTTTTTTACCTAGGTTTTAATGAAACAAGTGTTTCCACAATACAGAACATTTTCACTTTTTTAAAATTGTGACCATGGTTTCAGATATCTCAGTCCATAGATGGTTGACTTCATTGCCTTGGGCCCAAGGTGAGTCCATCATAGAGGAAAGGCATGGTGGAGGAAAGCTGTTCAGCTCATGACAGGATTCAGAAGCAGAGAAAGAGCTTTTTTGTACCACTTAATCTATTGATTTGTTAGTAAATTCAGGTGGCTTCATCCTCACAAAATTTCTGAAATCTGAATGCTTTTCAGCTCCCTACCATTATCATCCATAATCTGGTCCAAGCCAGTGTCAGCCTACATGACTATGATAACTTCTTAATGGCCTCATAAAGTCCTTCCTGAAGACAGCGAGTTATCCCTTTAAAACAAGAAGTTAGATCATGCTTAAAATCATCCAGAGGTGGCTCCCTGTGTTTGACAGCTATATTATAACAACAAAATACCATAAAGAGAAAACATTTATTTTGGTTTGCAGTTTTGGAGGTTCCAGTCCAAGATTGGGAGGCCCCCATTGATTTAGGCCTCTAGTGAGAGCAATATATCATATTGGAGAATGCATGTTGGAACAAGTGCTCATGTCTTGAACTAGGAAACAGAGGACAGGAGACTTATGGGGATAAATCTAGTTAAAGATATAAATCTGGAAGCCATGAATATACAAATGGCATTTAAAACCAGGAGACATTTTGTAATTCATATACTATAAGATGAGCTGGGTGAAAATATTAAAATCCCTTTGAGGGTATATCTTTAATGACCTCTGATTAGGCTAAACCTCTTAAATTTTCACAGCACCTTGAGAACCAAGCTTTGAATAAATGGATCTTAGGGGAACATTTAACATCCAAACTTAGCATTTTCCAACTCATTTGGAGCAAAAGCCTAAGTAAGACCTCTGGTTCCTATGTAGTCTTGCTTTCTCTTTTGCCCTTGTTTATTTGCTTCCAGGCTTTCTTGCGTTTTCTCAAACATTTTAATTATACTCTGACCCTAAGCCTTGTGCTTTCTGTTGCTCCTAGATGAACCGATGTTTCCCCAGAGGGCCAAGTGGTTTAAATCTCCCACTTTCTTTTTTGTTTCTTCAGGGTCATCTCAATGGGATATTCTGTGGCTTAGTGGTAGAGCACTTTCCTAGCATGTGCAAGGCCCTTAGGTTCAATTCCTAACACCACAAAAAAAGGGAAAAAAAAATTAAGCTGTTTTTCTCATACTACACTTCATTTAAAAAAAAGTATACAAGAATGCATGCACGCGCGCGCGCACACACACACACACACACATCTCAGGTTTTGTTTTGCCAGCCCAATCATTAAATTTTGATAACTGCATACACTTATGTAGTCATCATGCAGCCACAGGTATACCCCTACCCAAAAGACCCTTATCATAATAAGCTTCTTGAGGGACCCCTCCCCACCATAATTAAACTTCTTGTCAGCAAGATTTTACAAAGAGTGACAACAATATTTCTGCAGAGAGCTCAATGTGGTTTGAAGCTTCCTCTTTCTTGTCAATGCCAAGTTTGAGACCAAAGGTATGATAGACTCTGTCTTGAGAGCTTGTTGTATAAAAATTGTTTCTATTTTCTTGATAAAAACTTGTGAAACCTCTGTCTGACCTAAAATATGGGACAAAGAGTACCTGCCATGTAACCACCCGCTGTTATGTAACCCTTCCCAATGCGTATAAATTTCAAAGAATTTCTAGACTCAGGGTTCCGAGATTTTTAGGTATTAGCCCCTTTGGACTGCTGTCGCTTAAATAAACCTGCTTCCTGAAAATTCCTTGGGCGTCCAGCCTCATCTATCTTACATCAGTCACAGTCAGGATTTAGAACATTTTTAAATGTTTCCTCAGAAATTTCCTTTATTCTGTTATTCTGTTGTTAGTTAATCCATACCTCTGTGGGCAATGACCATGCAATTTTCTTTTTTATTTTATTTTTAAATTTTTTTTTACCATGCAATTTTCTATTATCGGATTATTTTTAAACTCCAGTAACTAAAATCATGGTATTCTTTTCTTTCACTTCATACACTGCTCATGTTATTCATCCCTGAGGTTGTGTGGGTTGGTGTTCACACTGTTTATTGCTGAATAGTTCCTTTGTGTATACTCTTTGCCCATCCACCTATCCATGGTTTTGAGTTGTTTCTAGCTTATGATTGTTGTGAAGAAAGCTGCATGAATATTTGTTTGTATTCTTTGCATATTTTCCAATGAGGTTGTACTACATCCAGCAGTAGCGTATGGGAGTTTCAGTCATTCTACATCGTGGTTAATGTTTGGTGTCATCAGGTCTATTAAGCATTCTATAGAGTATGAAGTGTAGTAGCTCATTGTGATTTTACTTAGTATTTCCTGATGACTAATGTACCTTTTCATAAGCTTTTATGTGTTTTGCATGTCTTCATGGTTTTTGTCTAGTTTTAAAATTTATTATTGACTTGTATGAGTTCTTCACATGTTTTTGCCAAATATGTTACATTTTTCCTTCCCTTATCTATGGCTTGCCTTTTAATTTTCTTAAGGGTTTCTTTTGATGAGTCAATGTTTTCATTTTGATGAAGTTAATTTTCTCTCTCATGAATTAGTGCTTTTTAAATCCTGCCTAAGAATCTTTGCCTATTACAAGAACTTTTGATACATTTTCTTCTAGAATTATTGTAGTTTAACTTTTATGTGTAGGTCTGTGAACCTATTCAAGTTAATTTGGGGATCTAATGGAAGTAAGGGTCAGGTTTCATTTTTTCCTCAACAAATATTCAGTTGTATCAGCACCACTTATTAAAAGGCCCACTAGATTGCCAAGTGATTATATTTATGGATATATTTCTTGACATATTATGTTCTGTATTCTTTTTGTCTCTCTGTAAACTAATACTTGCAGTGTCTTTAATACTGTAGTTATACTGTAAGTTCTTAAAATCTGGTAGTTTGGGTTCTCTAACTTCATTCTTTTTCAAGACTGCTGGCATTCTAGGGCCTTTTTATTTCCATATAAATTTTAGAATGAGCATAACATTTCCATTCTTCCAAAATGTCTTATATTTTAAATGGTATTGCAGAATCTATAAATAAAAGTGGGAAAAATGGATATTTTAACATTGTTGAGTCCTCTCAACTATGGACATGGAATATCTCTTCATTTATTTAGGCTTTTCTTTATTATTTCTATAAGTAGCATTTTGTAGTTTTCAGAATACAGGTTTTATGCATTTTTGTTAAGTTTATTCACAGGTGTTTAATATTTTTGATGGTACTTTTTTAAAAATATATTTTTTTAGTTGTAGATGGACATAATACCTTTATTTTATTTTTATGTGGTGCTGGGGATTGAGCCTAGTGCTTCACATGTGCAAAGCTAGCACTCTACCACTGAGCTACAACCGCAACCCTTTTTGATGGTACTTGGAGTGGTATTTTAAGATTTTATTTTCTGTTTGCTAATGTATAGGTATATTAGTGTTTGTCTGTTGACATCATAACTAGAATGTACTTGTTGTAATTGTGAAAATGTACTTGTTGGTTCTAGCTTCTTATAGATTCTTTTAAATTTTCTATGTACATAATCATTTCATCTGCAAATGAAAATTTTTTTCTCTTTTTCCAATCTGTGTGCCCTTCATATTCCCCTTCTTGCCCCCACCCGTTTCTTTTTGTCTTGTCATTAAGCTAGGTCCTCTAATACAATTTAAGAAGCTGGTGGTTGTCTTATTTTTAGAGTTAGAGGAGGAGACGTTCAGTATTTCACTTATGATTGGTATTAGCTTTAAGTTTTTTTGACAGTAGTCTTTTATCAGATAAAAATATTTACTTCTGTTTCTGGTTTTCTCGAATGTGTTTATTATAAATTGATGTTATTTATTTATTTTTAAATTCTGGGGATCAAACCAGGGCCTCATACACAGTCTACCATTGAGCTACATCGTCAGCCCTGGGCATTACATTTAAAAAATTTTTTTAAAAAAAATTCTGGGCATTAAATTTTATCAAATGCTTTTTCTATATTTATAGAGATGATTATATAGCTTTATACTTTATTTTGCTCATGTAAATTACATTTATTGATTTTTTTTGTATTCTTGGAATAAATCCCACTTGGTTATGATACATTGTATACATATTTTGAAAATTTATCAGTAGATTTTATTTGTGAATATTTCATTTAAACTATTGTATCTGTGCTCAATGAAAGATTCTTGAACTATAATTTTTTCTTCCTAAAATGTGCATATCTGATTTTATCAATTTGAGTTGGGAAATATTTCCCCATTTCTATTTTCTGAATGATTTTGTGCAATGTTGATATTATTTTTTCCTTAAATATTTGGTAAAATTCACCAGTGAAAATATGTGGGCCTAGAGTTTTCTTCATAGGAAGGTTTTTAATTATAGCTTTACTTTCTGTAATTGCTAAGAAGGACTCTTCTTTTTCTTTTTCTTCCATTGTCAAGTGGGGTTTTCTTCTTCTTTTTTGTTTTTTTGGTATTGGGGATTAAACCCAGGTGTGCTTAATCACTAAGCCATATCCCCAGCCCTTTTTATTTTTCATTTTGAGACAGTCTTGCTAAATTGCTTAGGGCCTCACTAAGTTGCTGAGGCTACCCTTAACCTTAGATCTATTGCCTCAGTCTTTCAAGTCGCTAGGATTATAGGCAAATTGCTGGGGTTACAGGTGTGCACCACCACACCTGGCTTCCTTTGTCACTTTTAATGAATAATGTTTTTCAAGGAATTTATCCATTTTATATAAAATTTCTAATTTATTATTATAAAATATTTATGATCTTACCTAGTGATCTTAATTTCTGTAGTATTTGTAATGATGTGTTCTTTTAATTCTTTGTTTTGGTAATTTGTATTTTCATTCTTTTTTTGGTATTTAATTTTGGTAGAGATTTAATGATTTTGTTAATTTTTTTTTTAAAAAATCAACTTTTGGCCTTGCTCATTTTCTCTTGAATGTCTCTTTTCTATTTTACTTGTCTCTGTTATTAAATCCTTCCTTGTTAGCATTTAATTGCTGTTCATTTCCTAAGCTTTTAAATTAGAAGCTCATAATATTGATTTTAATCTATTAAAAATTTCCTTCTAGAGACTGTTTTGGCAAACTCCCATGAAATCATTCAACTCACTATTTTCTAGTTTCCACTATGATTTGATCAGTTGGGTAAATACTATTTGTTTTTCTGTCTTTTTCACTCTTTGTGTTTCAGTTTAGATATTTTCTGTTGACCTGCTTTACTACTACCATCTTTTGCTATCTCTTATTATATCCATCCAATTTAGATAAACTATTTTGTAATGATAGAGTGTTCATTTTTTTTTTAAATTGATATAAAGTTTTCTTTCATAATGTAGTTTTTCATCCATTTATCTGTGTTTCCTCTGTAACATATTTATCATAGTTCTTTGGAATGCTGCTTTTTGGATCACTTCTGATCTACTGCTATTGAATATTTTATCTCTTTGCTAATGGCTATTTTTTCTTGCTTCTTTGCATGTCTAGTAATTTTTAAATGTGTGTCGAACATTGTTGACAAAATATAGAAGTTGCAAATTATCTTCCTTTGAAATATATTGAATTTTGTTAGGACAGTTAAATTGCCAGCTCTTCACCTTTGTTCTATCAAGATCTGGTAGTGTTCTCTTAGATTGTTCTGTTTAATTTTGTTTACATGTATCCAGTGTGGTCCATTTTCCTAATGTGTGATCTTTGTGGAATTTCACTGGAATGGTCTTCATGAACGCCTCTCTGCTTTGATTGGGCACAAACACTGATGACATTGTAGCCTTGACCTTTGAAATCTCAATTTACTAGTGTCTGTTTCCTACCAGGTAGTCTGTGGTTTTGTTTGATTTTTCAACCTAGAGATGGTCACAACTGGATGAGAATTTCTGAGCAAATTTCTGGGTTTCCTTCTCATGACTTAAACATGCCAAGCACCCTAGCCTCTGTCCTACCTACCCTGTTTGGATTTGAATTTAGTACCCTATTCCCAGAAAATGCTTCCAAGGTACAATCTTGGGGGAACACTGACTGGATCACTTCATGTGTCTCTTCTCTCTCAGAGATCTCAGTTTTATATTGATTACACTCCAGTGCCTATAACAAATTTGTCCAGATTTTAAAGTTATTTACCATTGGAGAATAAAACTTGCATAAGCTTTTCTCCATGACCAGAACCCGACGAAATCTTGCCATTTCCTTTTGTAGACATATCAACTACATTTAAAAAAAAATTTTTTTAGTTGTAGATGTACACATTACCTTATTTTATTTAATTTATGTGATGCTGAGGATCAACCCCAGTGCCTAACACGTTCCAGGCAAGCAGTCTACTACCGAACCACAACTCCTGCCCTTTTAAGTTAGATTTTTTTTACTTCAAGTTTTATTCCAGAAGAAACATTTTGGTTTGATTATGGTTATGGTGTAAGCTTCATATTTCAGAAAAATAAGTGTTAATTGGGAAAACAGCGCATGTCAGTCCATTTATTATACATAAATTGATATCTTAATTATCTGTTGTGTTTTTTATGTTTCCAGGAATCATTTGTTGCAGTTTGCTTTAGAATCACCACCCATATCTCCTGCTTCTTCCTCTTCTAAGAAACTTGCTGTCAAAGTACATACTCCTGGAGGTTACCGACATTCTTTAAAGCAGGGGAGCAGATTAATGGACAATTTCTTGGTTAGAGAAACTAATGGTTCTACATCAGAGTTGTCAATGAAAGAAAATGACATTAAATTCAGCCCTCAGAAAGAGGCAAGCACTTCTCTGGAGACTAAAGCAGCATGTTTTATGGGAAAGACAGCCCTTGGCTTCTCAGATACTAATGGTCATGAGATACCCTCTACGTCCACTTTGAAGCAAGTTTCTAAAGGTGGGAAATTATTTTTATGTGTATTTTCTTATTTAGTGGAAATATTCTCATTCATATGACAGAAGAATAAATAGACAGCAGTTTTTAGGGGGAAGGATTGGGAAGATATAAACCAGATTTTACTTTATCGTAATCTCAGAGATTGATGTAGTGGGTACTTTTATGTATATTTGTTTTTTCTTTCTCATGGAGTAGAAATTCAGCCTGATTTCTTAAAAACAACAATAACAACTAACAATTACAAAAAAGAAAGAAACAATTTAATTAGTTCATACTTCAGCCTCACAGTAACTTTGTTTCTCATTTTTAAATCCCCCACCCCCATTTAACATACAAGTTTCAATTTAATCTCTAAGAGCTGTTTTTGTCTTCTTATACCATTGTTTGAATACCTGCCTCCATGATGTTTTGCCTGTCATTTAAAGCCTTTGATGATTTGGTTTCTACTGTAGCCATTCCACCTTATTTTTTATCTTGCTCTCTCTCGTAGAAACCCATTTCAAGCCAAGCTGATCTCCTCATTCTTCCTCCAATATAGCCAGGGATTGGCAAACTGCATTTCCAAGACCAAATCTACCTTGTCACCTATTTCTGTAAATAAAGGTTTACCAGAACACAGCCATGTCCATTTGTTTACAGATTGACTGCTTTCATGCTGCAGTGAAGGAGTTGCATACTGGTGACAAAGGCCATACTGACTTGGAAAGCCTTAATTCTTTACTACCTAGCCTTTGCTAAGAATGTTTGGAGACCCCTGTTCTACACCTTTTTAAACTGTCCAGATTCTAAACTACTCATTGATTAGGGTTAGACAACATCCATATCTCACAGCCCTGAAAACACTTGTTTTCCAGCCATTTTGTTTACTGTTTGCTTATCTGTTTGATGAATATATTGCTTTGTTTAACCTTTTGTTTTCTATGTTTTTTCTTACCAGTGAAATTTGGAGCACCTTTTAGGCAGAAATAGACTTAGACATCTTCAGTAAACCTATGCCACCCACAGTGCAAGGCTGTTAGTGTTTTTTAAAGTTAGATAAATTAGAATTAATTTATTAGTTAATTGATTTATTTCTTAAGGGAATATAAATTTCACTTAAATTTCCTAGTATGTTTTATCCTCAGTCTTTTTTACCAGTTGTTCTTACTGTATTTTTTTTAAGCTTGATTGCTAATTTAGTTTTTGCTTCACAGAACCTTTTTTCCAAATGAAATCTTATAATGAACCATAACATAAAATTGGCCATGATCTATTAAAAGTAAGGACAGAGGACCTAGAAATTGTGATGCTCTGTCACAACATTACCTTCCCTGCTTTAGTCCACTGTATCCATAATGGCTTCTAAGTCTTGAGATTCCTCCACAGATCCTTTCAACTCCATGAAGAAACTTGAGAATGATTGTATTTAATAATTTTAACATTACATACGGAATTATAAATGAGAAGTAAATTAGCAAATTTGTAAGCACTGTCAAAATTGTATAGTATTTGATCTTATCCAGTAAATGCATTAATCCAACTGTACTTACCTGCTCACTTGCCCCAGGCCAGTTATGTCTCCCTGTAGTTGATGTTGATTGCTTCTGTGCTAACCAGGGATGCTCCTAAGGATTGGGAAAAACAGAAGATTTGTTTTATAGTTTGGTCATAATTTGGTAGAAAAGATTTAATGAAAGCTTTTCCTTTTTTGGTACTGGGTATTGAAACTGGAGTACCTTACCACTAAACTATATCCCCAGTTTTTTTTCCTTTTTATTTCTTATTTTGAGAGAGGATCTTGTGAAGTTGCTAAGACTGGCCTGAACTTGTGATCCTTCTGCCTCAACCTCCCCAGTTGCTTGTATGATAGGTGTATGCAACTGCGCCTAACAACCAGAGCATTTTCTAATAAACCAATTTCCAGCCTATGTTCAGTCTTTAAGCCTGGGATTCTGATTTGTGACTTCCCACAATGTAGTTCTTACCCATTAACCAGTCTGTCCTGCTGATGTTGCCCTCTTGGGTCATTCCTTTTCTCTTTTGCTTTTGTAAGTTCATGTTAAATTGGGATTATGTTTTTTTTTTTTTTTTTAATCTTAATTGCTGAAAGAACCAGCACATATATATTTTTACCCCTTCTACAGATAGTAAATTCTGTGTTTCTCTTTTTAAAAATACAGTGGATTGTCCTGTTTGCGGGGTTAGCATTCTAGAAAACCACATCAATAAACACTTAGACAGCTGTTTATCACGTGAAGAGAAGAAGGAAAGCCTCAGAAGGTAAGAAAGTTGAGCATAACCCAAGCTACTTTAGTTATGTGCTTTTTGTGGTTCATAAACCTGAAGAAACGGTTCATATTCATTTCATCCCAGTGACCAGTTGTATTCTCCCTCCCATTATTCTTTAATTCTGTTGATCAGAATCTCCATCCTTCTCCTTTTGTTCCTCCCTGAGTTCCTACTTTGCCAAATATAGTTATTTTGAATATGTAGCTACTGAATTTTTTACTTGAGAAATTAGTAACTTAAAATTCATTTCTTTTTAATCTCTTTTCTTCTTAGACTTTTAGAACTCCATAAAATCCTATGATTAAAACAAGTAAGGCTAAACTTTGAACATTGAACACATGAAGTCTTTCTTTTTTTTTTTGTCCTTAGGATGCTCAAAAGTTGTAGAAATTTACATCAAGCCTTTTTAAAAATTTATTTTTGGACCAGGCATTTATGTACACATGTAAAAATGGTGAAAAAGAGTATGTGTGAAACATGATGTCCTCCCCTCCAATCTGCCCAGTTGACAAACTAGTAAGTTGTCAGCTCAGTATTTGTCCCCAACTACTATGTTATTCTGCCTCCTTTATACATCAAAGTAATAGTAATTTCTTAAACTCGTCCACTACTTTCACACATATAAGATATTTAGGAATGAAATTTTAATTGAAATTAAATTGCAGGATATTAAGAAACCAGTGGCTGATGAAGATAATGAGGAAGCAGAAGCTGCAAATTAGATGAGTCTGATGATGAAGGGAACAAGAGCAATGAGATGGTAGTTGAGAGAAAGAATGAACAGCAAGATCAAGGAATGATTCTTTTAAAAATAGAGGTTATTTAAATCTTTAGTCTCTTTGCTTCCACTGTCTCCAGGGAGAGAACAGATGATAAATGGAACAAAGTGGTGAGTACTAAAGATCAAGAGTCTAGTAATGAAGTTATCCTGGGCCTTGTGAAACGTCTCTTTGGAAACTTTTAGGAAGAAAGGCAGAGAAAATAGGTGTAATTTTGTGAGCTTTGGAAAGACGGAGAAGGATACAATGATTGGTAAGAAGTAGGGATGAATAGAATGATGGGCCCTTAAGTTTGATCTGTTTTGAAGGACTTGGAAGAGTATTTTCCAAATACCACATTAATAAGGCAGGGCTATCTTACTGCTTTTTATAATTAAAAGTAAAAAATGTGTCACTTAATTTTCACATTTGGAGTGAATGCAGGTTCTGGGGGAAAGTTATATATTATAACTTTATATTATAAATATAAAGTTATATTTCTCTAGTGTTATAACTTAACACTGGGTATCATAAAGTTCAGTGGTGTTTTGTTAATTTACAGTGGGGGGGCAAACATAAGACAATCTGTGTGCACAGATTGTTAGTGAGGTTGCTTAGTTAGTGAGGATTTATGAGACTGGACAGTCCCATGGATTGTTTCCTATAAGCCATGAGAGTCTAATGACCTTTTTTAGAAGTGTTTCTTCCTTAAGAATGATTATAGAAGCTGAGGATTTTCTCCTTAAAGAGTGAGGAATCAACATTGATAATTCTGTTTGAATTCCTCTTTTTCTAGATGCATTTATCATATTCATTTATGTCTGCCTCTGTCAATTTATGGAAAGATGGGCTTATCCATGTGTAATTAGTGGTTCCAGATCCTGCTCCACAGAATCCTGGAGTCCTGCCAGTTGGTCCATAGTACAACTTAGAAGCACTGTGTATTGCATTACCCTCTTAGTGTACTGAGGCTGCTGAAAGTCCTACCTTATAGATAACTTCTGGGTTTTATCCTCATAACTCACATTTTACAGAATTGGTCAGACACACTTATGGGAGCATTTAGCTGAATCTGTCTTTACTTCCTGTCCTGGGGTTTTGTCACATAGAGGAGTCTCTGCTTATTTTTCAGTTTCATCCTCTGCACCCAGATCATCTCCCAGATATGAATGACAACCCTTAACTCATTCTATATAAAATCATCTCCTAGTTGATTCAAAGACTATACCTTTTCATATCCTCAGATTCTGAGCCCTTTAAGTGCATTACTCAGTTTTATCAAGTCATAGAAGAAGGATTAATGTAATTTTCATGTTTGAGGAAACATCATGTTTTATATTTTAAAATTCTAGACAGAAATAGTTGATCTCTGGTGGTGCTTTTCATTGTAAATTCCAGTGAATAGTACGATTTATTATTATAATTTTTTTTGTTATAAATTAGACATTTATCTTTGATAAAATAAGTGTTTTAGATAGGAATCAATGTGAATTATTCCTTCCTGATGCTTGTTATAAATGCCTGTAAAATGATTCATCTGTTGCTACCTACTGTGATATAGTTAAGTAGTTATCTCTGGCTTTTAGATTTTATTAATAGAGCCTAAAAGAAATGGTTTAGTCAGGAAATGGCACTATTGGTTCATAAAGACATCTGTGGTTATTTTTGTATTTTTGACTGTAATATTTCTCTAAGTGTGACCTTTGCACCATGTGTACCAGGTGGATCTGGGGGAACCTTGCTGAAAGTATAGACTTTAAACTTCCACTTCAGACCTGAACCACATGAGTAGTTGTTGCGAAGGGGATTGAGAATCTGCATTTTAACCAAGCCCTCCTTCCAGGGGAATCTGAGGGAGGCACAACTTTTGTGAACTAGTTCTATGCAGATCCTTTGTAAACTCTTGCTTTTTGGATAAACCTGTTACTCTCAAGTTCCTATTAATTTTTACCTGAACCTTTTCTGTTCTCATTTTGAAATGACTGCGGTTATAATAACCACTTCAAAAACATACTAAGCACCTAATTACCATCAAGCTGAATGAGGGGCTGTACTCAGGGAGTCATGCTATAATCAGATAAAATGGATTAAAACTCACTAAGGAGTTCCTGTTTATGAAGATTGTCTCAAGTCAAGATTGATGTTTGTAGGCAAGCTTGAATTCTAGTCTATTTTAAGAAATAATGTTTTCTTTTGGGGCAAAGAGTAGAGAAGGTAATATAACATGGCTTTGTTATACTTAAAATTATTATCAGTGTATTTATTATATAAATAGATTGAAAAATGAGAAGCCAGATGGTAATTTTCCTAATGCATTTTTTTATAAGGCCTTATGTGTTTATTAACATAAATACTTCAAGAGGACAGAAGCTTTTTTTTTTAATCATTGTTTTCCTTTGTGTTCTTTGAAGATTATTGCTCACTGTCCAACTTTCTGAATTTGTTTTTCAGTGGCAGTAATGAGCTGAGTAAAGTTGACAGTTCCCCTTTTATTTATCTAGTCCCTTTCAAAACAGTTGTTTAATGTCTGAGGGGCACGTTTGTCTGTTTATCAGAATGTTTTCTAGAGAAGCTATTTGTAATAATAAATCCTTATACCCACAGCCTAACTCTCAATAGTGTTTATATTATAATCATTTGACATAATTGGTTTTTATAGGAACTTTGCATGGAAACCATGGGTAAATTTTAGGAAAAGCATGCTTTAAAGAGAATTGATCAGGGGCTGGGGATGTGGCTCAAGCGGTAGCGCCCTCGCCTGGCATGCGTGCGGCCCGGGTTCCATCCTCAGCACCACATACAAACAAAGATGTTGTGTCCGCTGAAAACTAAAAAATAAATATTAAAAAAAAAAAGAGAGAGAATTGATCAGGCCTACATAAGTGTGATTCTAAGTGAAATTCTCATAACATTGAGTCCATAAACCTTCCATATAAGCTTTCTGAGTCTTCATCTTTAGACCTGACCTCTTTCTGAGACCTAAGTCTTACTTCAGGAGCTGCCTGGATTTCTCTATCTGAACATTGCTGGCACCTCAGGGGCACCATTGTCAAACACCGTCAACTTTTCCACAAACTAAATTCTTCTCTTTCCTCTCATTATTGTAATGTGTCTACTGTTCTCCCAGTCACCCATGTGTTGAGTCAGAAGATAAATTATTGTTTTACATGAAAGCATTTGATAATATTCACAGTAATCCTCAGGGAACTTTTTTTTTTCCTTTGCCTTTTCAGTTTTGTTAACAAAAGGAAGCCACTGCCCAAAACGGTGTATAACTTGCTCTCTGATCGTGATTTAAAGAAAAAACTAAAACAGCATGGATTGTCTACTCAAGGAAATAAACAGCAGCTTATTAAAAGGCATCAAGAATTTGTGCACATGTACAATGCCCAATGTGATGCTTTGCATCCTAAATCAGGTAAAGTAGTAAAATAATGAGTTATGCTTATCATCTGGTTAAAACACTTCTGTGTAGCTCAGAAATTAAAAACCATAAAGAAAAAAATTTTAGTGAGTACATTTTTGGTAATAGATAAGATATGCAAATTTATTCCTTCAAATGATACCTAGAGATTACTACAATAAGCTAGCCTTTTTCTCAGCCTGTCTCCTAATCCCCAAGTCCCCATTCTCAGAGACAGCACTGTTACCAGGTTCTTAGGCATTTTTCAGATAGCATGGTGGTGAAGAGTGGATCTGGAGATACTGGACTACTGTCCCAGTTCTTCAGCTCTGTGGCTGGGTGACTCTGGGCAAATTACTTGCTATCTATGTACCTCAGTTTTCTCATCCATAAAAGAATGGTTATGATACTATATATCCCCTCCTGTGTGTCTCATTTTGGATATTCACTTGCATCCTTTAAAATACCCTTCATAGTAAACTAGTAAATGTGTTTCTCTGAGTTCTGTGAGCTTCTCCTGCAAATAATCAAACTTGAGGAAGTGTTACCAGACCCAAGCCTGCCTGCCTGTTACTAGAAAACCAATACCGGGGAAAGGAGAGCTGGTGGGAAAGGAATCAGGTTTTGTCAAGAGCTGGCACCCTGAGAAGACGGGGGAGCTATCATGCTCCGAAGAAGTGTTAGGAAACTCATTTATGCAAAAAGAGATGGAAAGGAGGTACAGGAGGCATTCTGGGTGGGGTCTTTGTCATCTAGGGCATGTTGTCAACCTCAACCTAGTCTGACTGCAACATGGCTATCTTGACCTCTGAGTCTAGTTTGTATAATTCTTTAGGTAAACATATTAATTTTTGCAAGTTAAACTTCACAGAAAACCTATATGCTTTGTGTTAGTTGCTGCATAGGACTAAAGAGTAAGAAGAGTTAAACATTAGAATGTAATCTGAAGGTCACTAGATGTTCTAGGTTCTGTAAATCTAAAGAAAGATTATTTAGCAGGTAACCTTTTAATCACTTTGGGGTGGCTTTCCTTTAGACTTTAGGATGCTGAGCAAAGGGAAGCGAATCAAAAGTAAGTCTGCCAAGGACAACTGGCAGAGGGACAGCATTATCACTGTCACAACTGGATTGTGCAAACCCTGGTTAGTCAAAAGCACTAGTGAACAACCTGTGGCTTATGATTGGCATTGGAAGCATACAAGAGACAGTCTTGTGGCACAGAGCCCTTGTCTCGTGGGGTCTGATGCTCTTTCAAGGTAGATAATGAGGGAATTGAATTGAGCATATAGCTGGTATCTTTTGAAGGATTGCTTGCTTGCATGGTATATGAGGGGAAATCGCCACACATCTTGTTTCAGAAGTATGATAGTATAGTGTGAGAGAGTAAGTTTCTTTTTTCCTTATTTTATTTTGTAGATGGACAGCATGCCTTTATTTAACTTTTTATGCAGTGCTAAGGATTGAACTCAGTGCTTCATATATGCTAGGCAAGTGCTCTGCCGCGAGCTACAGCCCCAGCCCCTGAATTTCTTTTTCTGCTGTACACACACAAAAACAAACAAACAAAAAACAACAACAACAAAAAACTTTTATTTTTCGTCATCATCTAGTTTGCCATATGCATCTTTAACTTATTATAGTCTACCTTCAAATAATATATTACTTCACGTTCTTCATGTGTAAGGGAAGGATCCTACAACTTCCATTCTTTTTATTATTGTCATAGATTTTTCTTCTGTTTATGTTTAAAACTCCTTAATACCTTTTGCTTTAAGCTGTCACTTTTTCTTTTTGATATAATAAAAAGTAATTGGACATTGTGGCACATTTCTGTAATCCCAGCTGCTTGGGAGGCTGAGGAAGGAGGATTGTAAGTTCAAGGCTAGCCAGGGCAATTTAGCACAACCTATCTCAAAATAAGAGATAAAAAGTTATGGGGATGTAGTTCAGTGGCAGAGTGTGTGAATCCGTGGGTTCAGTCCTGGTCCTTAAAAAAAAAAAAAAAAAGTCTACCTACGTATTTACCATTTCTAGCATTCTGAATTTCTTTTTGTAGATTTAGACTTCCATCCACTGTCATTTTTTTTCCCTGAAAAATTTAGTCACTATTTCTTGTAATGCACATATATTGTTGAGACAGATTCTCTCAGCTTTTGTTTAACTGAAATGGTCTTAATTTTGCATTCTTTTTTTTTTTTTTAAGTGTGTGTGTGTGAGAAAAATGCTCTACCACTGATTGACATCCCCAGCCCTTTTTTATTTTGAGATATGGTTTTGCTAAGTTGCCCAGGCTGGCCTTGAACTTGTGATGTGATCTTCCTTAGCTTCTGAAGTAGCTGGGACTATAGGCATGTGCTTAAAAATTATTTTGTTCAGAAATGATACTGAATTTGTAGGAAAGCTGAAAGGGTGTCATAAAGAACATATGTATACCCTTTATATACAAAATGCCCCACTTGCTCTTTACTTATAGTTTCTATCTCTTTTTCTCTGTTGGTATGTGTGTGGGTGTGCATATATTCACACATACATTTATCTTCTTCATTAATTAATTAATTTTATTTAGGTATATATGACAGCAGAATGCATTTTGATTCATTGTATACAATTGCAGCACAACTTCTCATTTCTCTGGTTGTACACGATGTAACGTCACACCACAGGTACAGTCATACATGTACCCAGGGTAATGATGTCCATCTCATTCCACCATCTTTCCTGCCCCCATGCCTCATCCCCCCTCCTCCCTCCCCTTTGCCCCACCCGAGTTCCTCTATTTTTCCTATCCCCCCCCCCCCCACCAAATTATGGATAAGCAGCCTTAAATCAGAGAGAATATTCAGCCTTTGTTTTTTTTTGGGGATTGACAACTTCACTTAGCACGATATTCTACAACTCTATCCATTTACCTGCAAATGCCATAATTTTATTCTCTTTTAATGCTGGGTGATATTCCATTTTGTATATATACCACAGTTTCTTTATCCATTCATCTATTAAAGGGCATCTAGATTGCTTCCACAGTTATAGCTATTGTGAGTTGGGCTTCTGTAAATGTTGATGTGGCTGCCTTACTAGAGTATGCTGATTTTAAGTCCTTTAGGTTTAGACTGAGGAGTGGGATAGCTAGGTCAAATACTAAGTTTTCCAAGGAATCTCTAAATCTTATGAGAATAAATTGCATAACCTGGTCTCTTCACCTCTAAATACTTAATTGTGTATTTTCTTGGGTGGGTGAGGGGATAGTATTTATTGTTGCTGTACAGTTATCAGTTTCAGTGAATTTAGCTTTCTTGGAATACTCTAATTTATCATCTCTGTTCCAGTTGCTTCAGTGGATCCAATAATGGCCTTTATGGATTTTTTTTTTGTTCACTGCAGGATGTGATCCAGTTTTGGATCACTTATTGCATTTAGTTGTATTATCTTTTCAAACTCTTTCAGTGTGAAGCAATTAGTCTTTCATGACATTAGCCTTTAAAAAAAAAACTGTCTTTGGTGTGTGTGTGTGTGTTGCTAAATACAGTGGTTCTCCTTTTGGATTTGTGTTTACTGTTTTCTTATAATTTCATCGAGGTTGTGTATTCATGGCCAAAAACTATGTGACTGTCACTTCTAGGGATGCTTGACACTTATGAGCCCATCTTTGTGATATTAATTTAATAACTTGGTCAGTGTCTCCATTGTGTATGTTGTTTTCCCTCTTACTAGTGAGAAATCTATAGAGAGATAACCATTCTCTACCTTATTAATGTTTCACATGTGTATTTAGCTTCCTGTGGTAACTTACCTGACCGAGTCTTTTCTGTGATAGTTATGAAATGATTTCCCAGCTCCATCACTCCCTTCACATTTGCCAGTTGGCACTTGTTTTGATTCTGAAAACAAGAGCGTTTCCTCTACCTTGTTTCCCACCCCCACTTCATTTGTTATGGATGTGGATCCACAGATTTATAGCTTCTTACCATTCCTGGTTATTGTGGTGTTTGTAGTTTTTCATATTTGACCAGTAGGAGGACTTCATACTGATTCCTAGTCCTCTTAACACGCATCCATTGCTTTTATTGCCATTTCCTTCTTTATGGCATAGTAAAATATTACAGCCTAATCTTGTCCTTCCACATCCCAGCCCTGGAATTATCCATTTCTCTGAGGAGCTCTGAGAAACCAAGATGTAGCTACCAGCTATGCTTCTAGGCTTTGCAGATAGAGTTTGGGAGTGTGTGTGTGTACATATGTATACATATATATGCATATGGACAGATGGATACATACATAAATGCACATGTGTGCACACATTTATAACATGTATATGGATGCATGTAAATCCATTTACACTTACCATGTTTTTAGAGATCATGAGAATACACCAAAACCTCTACTTTTAGTCCAACCCTTCAGGGTTCTTTACTTTTCTCTAATCTGTGTTTTTCCTTTTTTTCTTTAAATTTTTTTTTTTTTTTAGAGAGAGAGAGAATTTTAATATTTATTTTTTAGTTTTTGGCGGACACAACATCTTTGTTTGTATGTGGTGCTGAGGATCGAACCCGGGCCACACGCATGCCAGGCGAGCGCGCTACCACTTGAGCCACATCCCCAGCCCAGTGTTTTTCCTTTTTTTTCTAGTCAGAATCATCCCTTTTATGAGAATCAAAACTTTTTCTAATTTGTTATTTATTTGATATATAGTGAGGCTTACTTGTTTTACTTTATATCCAACTTTTGTTGTTATTATTTACTTCCCTCTTGAAATTATAAAATGTAAATAACTTGAATGTGTAACATTGAAACCACTGAAAATATATATTTTTGCAGTGGACCATCTGCTGTCATGAAGTATGACAGAGTTGCAGCATCGTTTTCTTTTGTTTGAAGAGGGTTCCTAATCTTTTGTTGGATCATTTTATGATGGTAGCTTTAAAATTCCTGTCAGATAATTCCAACAACTGAGTTATCCTGGTTCTTAGCATGACAAGTTTTTTTTTTTTTTTTTAAATTTTATCCTGGAAATTCTG